GACCTCCCAAGTCCTGCAACTGAGCTGGATATTTATCTGTTTTGTACTGAACTCATTTGAGTGTCATATGGGGCCAACAGTGTTTCTGCCACACACATCAGCGCTGTCGATTTACAGGAACATGAGTGATGCTTTGGAAAACAAGGTATTGAAGTAGCCGACTTCTTTCGTGTTTCATACACCTGAAATTACACGTCTGAATCAATTTAGTCCAGAAACGCTGTAAGAATGTGGACAATTATATCAAAACCGACATCTCTGAGACACGAAAGTCTGCAGGCGTGACGTGACATGGGCCAAATGTCAGGATCAGTGTTTTTGACTCAAAGGTGCCCATTGTTTAACACCGTTTTCAAAAGTCCTCAAAGTAAGACATTTACTACATATTTCCTCTATAGTTATGACAAGGCTGCTTCTTATTTATTTATGCATTTATTTGACAAACAGAAACAAACAGAAGCAATTGAGGGGGGACATAATAAATAAATCAATAAACACATAAAAAAAATATATATATACAGTATATCATATTAAATGTATATTATATATAAACACGATACATTAAATATTTCTAATATTAAAGTCATCTTGGCTTGCTTTGATCGAACAGAACTAGTCTTGCTCCCGGGTTTTCCATTGGACGTCAAGAGAAGACTCAACACAGCACAGAAATTAGAGGCATAGTTCACTGTGAATGCACCATAAAAGTGGCCCGTGTGACTAGAGTGCTATTCTGTGCAGTTTTTGGTCGTCAGATGTTAGATTTGTGTGAGGAACAGACCAGCTGTTAACCAATAACGAGTCAATATGATGATCTCAAGAAATTCATTGTGAATCCAGAACTGATTCATTGAAAGGATTTGTCTTAAAAGAACAATGTGAAACAAGTTTGCAGTAGCTTATTATTCGCTGTTGTATGTGTGTGTGTGTGTGTGTGTGTGAGTGTGTGTGTGTGTGTGTGTGTGTGTGTGTGTGTGTGTGTGTGTGTGTGTGTGTGTGTGTGTGTGTGTGAGTGTGTGTGTGTGTGTGTGTGTGTGTGTGTGTGTGTGTGTGTGTGTGTGTGTGTGTGTGTGTGTGTGTGTGTGTGTGTGTGTGTGTGTGCTGAAGGTCTGTTTGTTTGTGTTGAGTTGGGCAAAAAGTCTCTATATCTCCTCATCACTGATAAACATTTAGCAGGAGTTCGAAGGAAGTCATACAGTGATTCTTTTGATGAATAATGTTATGAAATAACTTTTGCCAAAGTTAATGCTCTTTATTATGTTCTCCAAATAAATCAATCTTTTCTATTAAAAGTCACAGACAAGCGGAAGGCTTGAAAGGACCCTGATTTCTAAACCACTGACTGCAGCGTTGGCCAAAAACTTTAGCAAAAGGAACAAATAAACAAACAGGATTCCTTAAAGTACAGAAACAGCCTTTGTCAAAGGGTGATTTTCCAATTACAGAGGTGGAAAAGTAGTCTTAGGGATATGTTTGTCTTATGCTTATGGGTGGTATTTCTGGCATATACTGTCAGTATTTATTATCCTACACATAATGTTGACCAGTCCTTCTGTTGAAGAACAGAAAACATGTTTACAGGAATACATTTGCAGGCCAGAGGCTATAAAAGGAAATGTGAAGCTTGTTCTTCAGTGCAACGGTTGTTTTTTGAGTCTGTAAGTCTTCGTTTTGAGGCGGGGCTATACTTTCCAAGGTGGACGAACATCGGGTTACGTGATACAAATGTGATTTCTGTGGGTGGATGTACGGGAAACCGTAATAGTGCACAAGCAATATCACATCAATGTGAAGCTCAGCCAGTATTTTAATACTGTATTCATACAGTCTGTTTTTAGACTTTTTCCAGCAGATTTTCAGAATTGATTTTGAAGTTGTGTATTTTGCTCATTATTTCTGCAGCAAACTTCTCAAAACATCTTTTAATGCTATATTGTTACTAAAATGATATTTTATTGTAATTTAAAAACATTTCTGTCAGTTATATTCTGTACAATCCGTTTTATATTTATTTTTATATTCTCTATAAAATGGTTATGTTTAGGTTTCGAACTAAATATCTAAATCATAAAATTATAAAATTGCATCTATACAAATATCTTTACGATACAAACGAGTCATAAATATTTGACAATATTTAGTTATAAATATGTAATAATGTTTAATGTAAAATACGTGCAAATTGTATGCTTCAGCATCAATTGAAACATAAAAATATATGTTTTGTACCTGTAAATGTTACATACTAACACCTATGTGACAGTGAGACCAGACATTGCAGACATTTCTACATAGCATAACACCAGCCTCTTATATTTCTAACAGATTATTGGTTAATAAAGCCTTATTTTTGTGCAGTTTCTTGCACGATACCATGTTATGAGCTCAAAACACTTTTGCCATAGTGCATGATTTACAAACTAATACATTTTGATGTTTGTATCACATGCAGCTCCATATGTTTGTGTTTTCTGATGTAGAAAACTTGCTCGGTAGCGCACCCGGTACAGTTCATTCATGTTCATCTGTTTTCAATAAAAACTAATGCACTTTTAGAGCCACTCACTGGACATTACATTTTTTTAAATGTTGCAAAACGTGCAATAAGCAACATGATATCATTTTGCTGAAATGTTGCAACGGCACATTTTTCCAAGAAGCCTGGGCTTGACATGCACGATACCTCAATAGCAGAAAGGCAACGTTTATACTACATGCGTGCTTGACAACATTTTGTCTCCTGGACATTCTGCATGTGTTAAAACTGGACATACATGAGTGAGACGGACTGTGTAGTTTTATGTCTGAGACATCTTTTCCACAAACTGTGTGCTCTGAGTGTTTGCTCACCATAGAACATGTTTTATGTAGACAAGCACACCTACAGATGTCCGGCCAGAGTCAGAGTAGTTATTGGGTCCCGCTCCACAGGCCGCCGCGATCCACATTTATGTTTTCTCTAACAGACTCGCTGCTCTTCTAATGAAAGGTTTGCTTGCTTAGATGTTTTATGTGTCCTGGAAGGCCAAGCTCTTCACAAAAACAAAAAACAACAACTCTTAGTTTCTCTTTCTCCTGGCCTTTCAAAGCGCTCCACAAAGCCCAAGTGTTAGTGAGTGTACTTGAAGCTTTCATGGAGGGCAAACATTTGTTCTTTGCTTAAGGGCAATGACTCTTGAACGGGACGCCTGCCTCCTCTCCACCTGTGGCTCCAGCAGCAGCTCTGAATAAAGTCTGCTCTAGTGAAACTCTTCATCTCACACACTTTAGACTCCAGACAGTTATTGTCTTGTGCTGTATGCGTCTCAGCACTGCTGGAGTTCCAGTAGTGTCCAAATCTACAAATAAGAGGAAAAAGCATTTTCCTAAAACATATTTTGTGCTATTTCCAGCAGAAACACCTAAATATTCTTAAGACAAGATCAATTTAGACTAAATATATTTACATTGTCATTACATATAGGGCTGGGTGTCGAGTTTGATGCTTTTTAGACACCGACTGAATTGCCTCGATACCATCGAGTATTGAAAAATGTCTTGTTGTTCGATACCAAATCCTATCGATATGGCGATACCATAGCCTATCAGCTAACCTTCAACATGTTTTACACTAAACAACAGTTTTGTATTGAACTCTTTTTAGAGTTTACACCGAAAGAAATATGTCGTTTTATAAGAGAAGTCACTGACTTTTTGCGACAGCTGGGATTCAGCTGGCACTTCTCATTCATTCCTATGCTATCCTTAAACGGAGATTGCACAACTCTGACTGAAATTCAGTGAACTCAGATGAAACAGCGCTGACAAACAGAATAAACACTGTGCGCAGCGATACAGTCAATCTATTCAATCCACAAATCACCATCATTTACCGCAGATTTACTGTAGTAGCCTAACACTAACTGCACCATGGTATTGTGGCAGAAATGTGTGATATTCATATCAAATTTTATTATATATCTACTATGGAAAACCAATGGTTAATTTGAATAAAACTCCAACTTCAACATATAAAAATGAGGTTGTTACAATTTTTTACAGATGTTACTGTTTTTGATAATGAACATAAATGTACATCTGCATCCAAGCTACTGCTGTCAAATGTGCGTTTCTAAGAGAAAAATAAATACATTTAAAAAATAATATAATTAATATTGCAGCCTGCACTGCAAACTGTGCTGAAGATACTAGTCATCAAAGTAAGAAACACAAGCCTGCTTCATGATTTGAAACAATACCACTCAACAGGACATGCAGAAACTAAGAAATTAATTCTTCTATTAAGATATTTATTTTGTTAAGCAAAAAAGACTGGTGAGAAAGAAAGAGTGTAACGAATTCAAAAGCATGACGTGTTTGTCATGTTCTGATCATAAAGAGTCGTTTAAAACCACAATTAACAGTCTAGTTTCTACAACTTTTACATAAGAGCAAAACTATGCTTTTAAACTGGAAAGAAATAAAGATTTGAAATTGATCGTGATATTTATCGATATCGACTGATATGAAAAATTGTATTGTGATAATATTTTGGCCATGCACACAGTAGCATCATGCTACAAAAGACAATATATAACATTTATACTATGCTAAACTCACTTTAAACCACCATCGAGTGTTTGTAATAACTTCCGATTGCGATCTAATGTGTGTTTTGGTCATATAATGTTGCTGAAATATGCTATTTGTAGCCTTTCATATCAAGCTAATCGCTACACCTGCTTAGCATTTCTCATGTAAACACACTGTATTGTTATAGAAATAGGCAGAATCTCATGAAAATCACATACAAATCATATACTGTTGCAACCACGTGTTTATTAGCTTCATGTTTCATCCCTGTAAATGTTTTTCTGGAAGTGTAACGCACGCTCGTCATCAGAGACAGGACGGGTTATGAGCGCGTGATATGCGTGACGTATGAGCAGCGTATGATTCTTAGTGTCACAATCCGGAAAATGTAATAAGTTGGTCGACCCGTCTGTTGTGTTTTTTCTTAGGGAGAGAAAGGAGACGCGGGGCTGCCAGGCGCTGACGGACCACAAGGAGTTCCAGTGAGTCGCTTCTGCTATTCTTCTTCTTTTAATAAAAGATGCATCTGTTAAATATGTGTCAAATTTTCAAGCAGTTCCGTACCGCACTTTTAATCTAAACAAACATCCTTTGCACATGTTGACTGTAAAACTGTGGACCTCTTCATAATTAGCGGTCAAAAATCTGACAGTCGTCTCGCAGTGGTTTCCTGAAGTAAAAAGCAACTAAATGAGGAAGGATAGATATTCTGTAAATGAGAGCCCTGCACGACCGCAGTGTTGTCAAATCTACGGGCGCGACGAGACGAGACGAGAGCCAGCATGATGATCCCATCGCTCTCGCTGTACACCTGCCACATCTGTACATCTACAGCAGCGAGCTGTTTCTGCTTTCAGTGTTTCATGTCAAAACATCCTGTACATATGACAAAAAACACAGTTCTTTACAATCTGGAGTGTCCCGCTAAAATCTTTCACTTTCTGAGGCCAGCAGATAGACGTAATCACAAGAGCAATTCTCACTAATTTAATTGCTCATATGGCCATAGGATAAAGTAAATTTTAAAAAGATAATTGCGACTTTTTCTCTCACAATTGGGACTTTTTTCCCCATAATTCTTAAATCTGAATTGCAATATATAAAATCAGAAGAGTGCAATTCTAAGAAGAAAAGTCTGAATTGTGAGATATAAAAAGGTGAAAAAAATGTTGCAATTCATTTTTTTTTTCTGCCACAGAATATAAAATAAGATAATGCGGTAATTGTGAGTTTTTGTCTTACAATTCACTTTTTTCTTTTTGCAATTCTGAATTTATATCTCACAATTCTGGGGAAAAAAAATCTGAATTGTGAGAAATAAACTCAGAATTGCAAGTAGTCATCAGAAGAGAAATATAAACTTAGAAGTCTTTTTTTCTTGCAATTGCGAGTTCACATATCAGTTTATATATCACACTTATGACTTTTTCAGAATTGCACATTTAAATCTCGCATTCTGACTTTTTCTCTCAGAATTTAAAGTTTACATCTCTCTCTATTTTTTATATATATAATAAATGGACTTGATTTATAAAATCAATTATCGATTATATATAATAGATGGACTTGTTTCTTGCAATTGTACCATTATATGACACACTTTTTTTTTTTTGAAGGAAAAGTCGCAATCATGAGATACAAACTCAGAATAAAAATTGAAAAAAGTCAGAATTATTAGATTAAAAGTTGCAATTTCATTGTTTCATTCTGTGTTTGAAAGAGACTTCCACGCACATGAGCCATATCTATGAACAGAATGTCATAGAGACCAGCACAGACAGGAGCCACTCGCACCTATTTACACATTACAGCCTCAGAGGTGTGCAGCTGTAATATATTAGCATTAGCTTTGTTTGCCTCCTTGATTGAGAGAAAAATGGATTTCATATTTGATCTACGTGTGTGTTGAATCCATACATACAGTCAAGATGAAATAATTGCATTTTCACGAGCTGCTTGTCAAATGAACAGCCGGCCTCAGAGGAGAACCGAGACTGGCAGCCGAACACTAAAATATACAAGCCTGTTTTCCTTCTTAATGTGGCCCACACACTTAATAAGCGCCGCTGCTCCCACTCACTGTGTGTGTGTCAAACCTGCCGTTCAGACGCCGTAAAACAAGATACACACCTACAGTAGGCTATTCTTATTCAGGAATAAAGGTGAATCTCAGAAAACAACCCCACAATGAAAAGACAAAACAATACATTGTATGTTTTTAGGCCTTTTTTGCATTGTAATGTTCATCCTGACATGTTTGTGTTCTCATGGTGATTCTCATTATTGTATTATTTGTTAAAAAAAAAAAATCTTACATTTCAAAAGTTTGGGATCAGTAAAAAATATTTTTAGATTTTAAATGCATTTATTTATTTTTAAAGAAATGAACACTTTTATTCATCAAGGTCACATTAAATTGTTCAAAAGTGAGAGTAAAGTCATTTATAATGCTACAAAAGATTTCTATTTCAAATAAATGCTGTTCTTCTGAACTTTCTGCTCATCTGTGAATCCTGAAAAATTACAGTTGAACAGATATTCACACAGAATCAGCTGTTTGAAACTGTAATCATACAGTATTTTTGATCAACTAAATGCAGCTTTGGTTCAAAAACATTATTACATCTTAACGACCCCAAACATTTGAACGCTAGTGTAAACAAAAGTATCATTATTATTATTTGTAAAATTAGTTAATTAGTCTTTTTGCATTAAGAAGGTTCTTATTTCTTCCTTAAATAAAAGGCCTAATTTTCTTCATGCACGATTTTTTTAATTTTTTTTATTTTTTGATAAGGTGCATTATTTTACCCCGACATGTTCTTGACAGATTTTGTGCGATTTCACCCATATGACTGCAATGTGGCTATTTGACTAATTCCTGTTTTTAATTAATGCTAAATATTCTTTGCCAGTAATGATCTGGTCTGGCTAATATTTAGACGCTTTTGCTCTGCACTTGAAAGCCTGACTGTGATTTGTTAATAAGTCATTTCCCGCTACTGATCATTACATCTCAACCAGACAAATTAACACTTCAGGTGTGACACCTTTCATCTTTCATGTAATTTCTTTTACAGTCTCGCTCTCCTTCCCGCTCTTACATTTCTGCACAGTTTCCTCTCAAATTAAACCAGGGAAGGCCTCAGAAGTTTGTCTTTTTCTTCTTGATGTAGTTCAGCTTTTCTGAGAGAAGAAGAGTCTTTGAGTGAAACGCGATCGATGGAGCCGCTCACTATAAAATGACTCATTAACGGCAGATAATATGCAGGCATCTCCATTTCAAAGCTTTTTTACTCTTGGTTGTGTAGTGTCTGAGGATCGTGGAGTCAAACACGGACCTTGATGTTTCCTGCACGCTTCTGCATGTCTCTCAAAGCCGCTGTTTCAGGTGCTTTGCTAACCTGCGGACCGAGGGCCGTGATGCATCGCTGAACTCTGTATCCGGCTGCATGCTTGTTGTTATTGAGTTATGAAGCTACAACAGAAGATTTGTTTCTTGAATGCAAACATTCAGGCAGGTGCTGAAAGCTGCTGTGATGCGGGACCCTCGTCTGAGTGTTTAGGTGCTCATCGGGGCATCAGACGGCTGTGGGAAGTTATTATTCAGTTTGTGGCAGGAAGGAAGAGGGTGTTTGGTTCTCGCATTTCATATTTGGAGAAAATAGTGGTACTTTATCAGTTTTACGGTCACTCGTCTGTTAAGATATTTACATTTTCAATGTGCAAAAGTAGTAATGCAGCATTTTTCAAGGAGAGCAGCTGGTGCATGCTATTTAAATGTTTCAGTTTTAATTTTGTTTAGAATCTGTTTAATTCTTTAATGTAAAATATGACGTATTTTAAAGTTTTTGAGGTCCTACATTCAAAGGGCCCAGTTTTTTCCCCTCTCTCTTTCTTTTTTATTTATTTATTTATTTATTTTTGCTGATTCCAATTATTTTTATGATTCTCTTTAGATTGTCATTACTTTAGCGGTATTTTTGATAAATAAATTAAATAATATTTTTAAAATAAAAATAATATATTTTATAAAAAATAAAGGTATATAAACAATATATTTGCAATAATAATAATAATAATAATAAATTAATTAAAAGTGGTGATTCTCATTACTGTAGCAGTCTTTTTCTTTTGATAAATAAATATTTTTTATATAAATAATAAAGGTCTATATGTAATATATTTATATACAACAACAACAATAATAATAATACACTGATTAAAATTACTAGCATGCTTAAAATGTAAATATATTTTGAGGTTTCTGAGGTATTGAACCTTAGGATACTTTTTAGGTAATTCATATTATTTTTATTGGTGAATCTTATAACTGTAGTAGAATTTTTCTGATAAATACATGAATTAATAAATAATAAATGTATAATAATAATAATAATAATGTAATTAAAAGTCATACAGTGCCATGAAGTACCATGAATCTTGATGTTAAAACAAAGAGCAGGATATTATTCAGTCAGATTTTTGAGGAACATGATGGTGCTAACAGAGCATTTTTAAAAACATTTTTATGTACTTGACTTCTTGTTGTCCCATTACGCGAGGTTCATCGCTGCCTCTTACTGCAGCCTCAGAGGAAGCAGATGGATGGAGGAAGTTTTTAATGGATCTCAATTAAAGTAATTTAGCAGGCTAGAAAAACAGACAGTAGAATTGTGTGAATGTCAGAGAGTCAATTGTGTCCTTTTTCTTGGCAGGCTCCCCAGAGCTTTGCCAGAGTGTAGATTAATTGAGTGGCATCCTGGTAATGCTGTAATAACAGTAACCAGAGAAGAAGAACATGATGAATGATGGAATTACAGCGAGGCCTTGATGTACGAAATACAAGGTCATTAGCCCCGCTTGTCCCGTCCATCAGGGTGTTAGAAACTACATGACCCATGCAGCTGACATATGGTGTCCTTTCCAGGGAATCCGTGGGCTTCCCGGTGAGGAAGGTGCGAGCGGACCGCAGGTATGGACTCACATATACACTAAACCCAAGCCATACTGAAGGCTACTACATGCACTATTCAGTCAAAGCGCAAACGTTTAGCACAGACTTTTGTGCTGTTCTACACAACCTAATGTTGTACAGAGCACAAAACTACACAATGTTAGCCAATTATTTGTTTTTTTGAATATTAACTTTTTACATTTTTGCTGTTTCATAACTGATATTTGTTAAGTAAATGTATTGCTATATTAAACTAGGGTGACCATACGTGCTCTTTCCCCCGGACATGTCCTCTTTTCGGACCTAAAAAAATGCGTCCGGCTGGGATTTCTAAATTGCCTTTTGCTTTCTACAGTCGCCATTCATTGTGTGCGTTTTTGAATTCGAGCCCTGCGAGGGACTGCTTTCTTAATCTCGTTCCCGCTGAATTTCTGACCATTATCGGCCGCTCCCGCGATTTTTGTGTTCAGTCCTGCAAACATTCAGTATTGCATATAATTTTTTGCGCATCAGGGTGGCGCTATCAATATGCGGAATATTGAAATTTCTTTTGAACGAGCGCTCGCTGTTCACTTTCACTTTTCGATCATGCGCGCGCGCTCTGTGTAAAGGAAGATCAGATATTTGTCAATGAGCTCAGGACGATGAGCAGCAAATCCTCCAGCATGATCTGTCAGTCATCTCTCCTCTCATCCCGTGATCAGTCAAATCTGACTCTCGCAGGGTTGTCAAGTCCACGGTTTTTTTTTTTCAATGGAATTGGGTTACTTTTAAAATGTTGCCATGGATTGATTTTCCCACGTGGGTTATTAAAGGTTTGAAAAGTTGCATAAATTAATTTTGCATTCTACCTATCATAAAACTGTACTGTTAGGTTTAGTGAAGGAGGGCCACTGGTAGGAAGCTTTTTAGCTGTGTTTATGATCAATATGCATAACAGTGACTGTAAAATGTGTATTTTAGGTATGGAAATGACATATTTTGAGTTTTGATATTATGGATATAGTCATTGCGCTACTTTGGGCACTGCTTTAACCACCAATCAACCAACATTTTTAATGTTATTATTATTATTTACATTTTTGCGGTTTCATAGATAGATTTGTTTTCTGTTAATTATATATAATTGTGTATAATATATTGAATTTGGATAATAATAATAATAATATGTATTTATTTAAATAAATATAATGTCACAGCAAATCATATTAATGATGCCAAATATATTTTATTTACGAATAAAATGTGACCATGTCCAACCACATCTTGTCAGTGTAAGATAAATAAATGAGGTTAAAAACCTTTTGCACAATGGCTGCAGTAACTGACTGCCTTTAATACACGTGCCATCACTGCATCTTTAATTGTAACATGGCGTATTACAAACTGATGCTACCGATCTTGTGTTTCGTGGAGTTTAGGGTGCGAGAGGAGCACCGGGACAGAAAGGATCATCTGGGCCAAGAGGAGCTCCTGTGAGTAAACATCAGCCTTAACCTTTTACCCCCTCATTGTGTCGACTGACCCGTTAAAATGGGACACTTCAGAGGAATTGGATTGTATGAAGTCCCAGGCAGCTGTAGAGCTGCTCATCAGATCAGCAGCCGCAGCCAGATAGGAAAAAGAGCAATCTGGACCGGGGTCAAACACTAACCAGTGCTCAATCCGGGACTGAGTAACCGAGCGCTCGGGTAAACAATGTTAGGGTGACCTCTGATGGTGAGAGCCAAACATTCAGCCTGCGTTTGCCATGGTCTGTGTCAGAGCAAACGCTGCTGCCACCTAGTGCTGGATGCGATCGGAACTCAGGCTTTATGAAGGCACATTTAAGACAAGACAATTTAAGGAATAAATGTAAATGGAACAGAATACGTCAATATGGTCTCTGAATATAAATGTCTTGCGTTAGCAATGCTTCAAAGTTTAAAAATAAAACTTCCAACTTACATTACTTTTGAACTTTATTTGACAAGCACAATAAATAAAAACATAAAATACATACATACAACTTTTACTGTACTGTACTTTTACAGATCACACTGTAAAAACTCTTCATCCTCAGTCTTGTTTTCCAGTTCAAATGTCTAAAGATTCCTAAATCAAGAAGAAAAACGACAAAATAATGTCATGTTTTCTGAGAAATTGATCAAAATGAAGCGAGTTGGGCTCAGAAAAATCAACTCAATTCAAAGCTAAAAAGCTTTGACAGATATTAGTTCTTGTTATAAGCATAAACTCACGTTTTGTTCAAGTTCTCAAAAAACAAGACTTCATAACTTACACATAACTCTCCAGTAAATGTGTCTCGATTTAAGGATGTTTCGATGTGTGTACTGGAAAACAAGACAAGAATAATGAGGAAGAGATTTTTTAAATTTTTTTTGCGGTTCATGCAACATTTAATGTCATGACTTTATGAATTTAAGACTTTCTGCTCTGATTTAAGGCCTTTTACGGCCTTAATTTGTCAAAACGTGAATTGAGACTTTTTAAGGCCTGTGTATTAGTATCGGTAATTGTTTTGCACATCATAACTTCATTAATTTATGCCGTTTCTGACTGTGCATTTTAGTTTAAGTTAATTTTCCTATTTTGGTCAAATACGTATCTCCTGGAGTTTTTCTGAAACTTTATTTGCAGTCCGCCGAGCGAGCCGTTGTGTGTTATCAGCGTCCTGCGCTTTAGTCAGGCAGTGTTTAACTCTGAATCCTGTCTGATTAAATCCTTCAGGGCGCGCCGGGGCCTTCAGGGCCCTCCGGAGCAGACGGACTCAGCGGCCCCAAGGTTGGTCTGCTCCAAACATCACCTTTAGCAATTATGCTAATACCTTGACTTGAATCAGGTGGGAATAGCCGTGCTGAGATTACATTTATTCTGTTCCTGGATTTGTGCCCTTATCAAATGGATTATAGAAGCATGCCGAACAAAACCATTTAGGTTGCTGGGTTTGCAACAGTATTTCATTTAATATTTAGAGTGGTTAATAGTCTTTTTATCTGTCTATGGAAACAAATGGCTTCTTCCAGCTAGGTTTTAATGGAGTAATTATATATGTGTGTGTTTATATGTATTGTCTGTGTTCAGGGTAACGCAGGAGAAAAGGGAGATGCAGGTACTCCTGGAGCCGCAGGCCAAAAGGTAAGAGTCTCGTCTTTTGTAGCTTAGATTTGTGAGGTTGGCCTTCAGAGCTCTCAGGATAAATGAGGTGAAGAGTTTATTCTCAGAGGTTTCGTGAATCTCTCAGGGTGTCCGGGGTGAGCCGGGATTTCCAGGACTTCAGGGTGCCATGGGCCTTCCTGGATTTAAAGGACACAAGGTAATGCACTAGCGCTCAAAATGCAGGGTCGGGACGATGTTTTGGAAAGAAGCCTCTTCTGTTCACCAAGGCTGCATTTATTTGATAGAAAAATTCAGTAAAGATTGTGAAATATTATTAGAATGTAAAACAGCTGTGTTCTGTGTGAATCTCTGTTAAACTGTAATATATTTCTGTGATGCGCAGCTGTATTTTCAGTATCATTACTCCAGTCTTCAGTGTCACATGATCTTCAGAAATCAGTATAATATGCTGATCTGCTGCTCGAGAAACATTTCTGATTATTATCAATGTTGAAAACAGTCGTGCTGCACAATATTTCTGTGGAAACTGTGATGCATTTTATTTTTCAGGATTCACAGATGAACAGAAAGTTCAAAAGAACAGCATTTATTTGAAATATAAATATTTTGTCACATTATACATGTCTTTACTCTCACTTTTGATTAATTTAATGCGTCCTTGATGAATAAAAGTACTGACTTCTTTATTAAAAAAAATATAAAAAATTCATACTGGCCATAAACAGTAGTGCTATGCAATAATATTCTGAAATGATGGGCTACTGAGGCTTTGGATGAACGTGTTTGTCAGGTGAATAATTAAGCATCTGAAATGTTTCAGAAATGTTTCTGAAGCGCAACACCCGGCAAAACCATAATAAGGTCATACCTGTGCTTTAAAACATGATAGACCATCTAGTTCCAGCTGCATTGTTTAGCTTAAGCTGATATGAACTGTTTTTTTCCCCAGCTGAGCTCTTGACCAAGATTGTTAAACTAGAAACCAGCTTCCATGTTCTGAAACACCTCGCTGTAGTTTCCAGCAGAGATGTGCTTGTCTTGAGGTTGAACATGCTACTCACGGTGTATGTTTTATGTAGGCTACACATGCATATGCATACTCTATATGCAGTATTGTCACTGCCATATTGTCCAGTGCTGTCACTGCCATATATCTATTAAATCACTTTGGATAAAGCATCTGCTAAATGATTGCTTGTATGGAAGATGTGCCTGATATACTGGCGTTTCAGCTCATTAAATGTAGTTTTTGATATACTGATATGCTAGAGAACAGAAGGTAGAAGTGAGTGGATATTTCTCTTGTATTTTCAGGGAGAGAGAGGAGAACCCGGACTCAAAGGCATTCAGGTGGATCCCAGTCATTTACGTCACATTTAAAAACTGCTTTTGACTAATACTGATTAGTAGAAATAAGTCATCAGAGGCTGATTTCTCAGAAAACTCTAAACTCTCATTGCTGTGTTTGTTTGAGTGTCTGGCCAGCAACAGCTTGGAAATATTGTTTTTGAAATTGTGTTTGGTGTCGCTAGTGATGCAAAAATGACACACAAGTCTAAGAAACCAAACTGTTTAAGCTTCAAAAAGAACACAAAGACACTATAAAGTCTTCTGATGAGATTCATATGATAAACAGATTTAATCTATTCACATTTATCAGCGTAAAACATTGATGAACACACATACATAGAGCACATCATATATGTTAAACAGAAGCTCAATAAATTAATAAATGAGAAGATGAACCATGTTTTTTTTTTTTTTATTCTTTCCCATTTGACAAAATATATAGGCTATTTAAATATATTTCAGTTTGGCATTTTATTGTTTTAAACATATTTTTAAAAATTTAAATTTACTTTTAAAAATATATTTAAAACTATATTTTGCCCTCCATATATTTACATTCATGAAAATACTTTCACACGTGTCACATTTGAAGAAAAAGTTTGTTTGTTTATAACTTGTGTGAATATTATAACACATTTGAATTAAAATCAGCAGGAACATACTTTACAATGTTCCAAAAAATTATAATAATGCTATATATATATATATATATATATATAACATGATTAAATTATTAGAAATCTAGCTTTGATCTCTAGGCTATTCCATCCACATTTGCATTATTTAGCTTTAATGTAGGCTACTGTAAGATCGGAAATGCGTTTTCTTGCCCCTGAAATACCTTTTGAAATATATTTAGGTACATTACGGTTGACACTAAATATACTTTCAATTTCAAAAATATATTCAATTGAGCTTCACTGTTTACAACATATATTTAGTGTATATTTAAAATATAATTTGTCCAGAGAAATAAATAAATAAAGAAAATGCTGTATGGGTTTATGAAAACATGGTTACTAAATCATAAATATCCTAATATTGTTATATTTTTCTTCTGCTGACACTGCGGGATGAACCGCCGCAGTATGATTAGTGCAGTTCACCGTAGCAGTCTCAGTATGGTACACCGCTCTAAGTGTAGTTGGCTCAGTGTCTCTCAGTTAAACGGATGTGACACCGTCTTCTAAAGGTTATAGGGAACCACCTGCTGTTTTTGAATGCTAACCTTTCAGAGTTTGAGACCCCTGCTAACACAGGCCTCCTCACGTTCACAGGGTGAAAAAGGCAGCAAAGGCTTCCCAGGACCGCCTGGCTTTCCAGTAAGTGTGCAAACTCCTCTCATCTGCTTACAGCATTGCACCTCAACATCGACCGCGGTTATTAGGCCAGTCAGAAATTCTGAATTTAAGAAGTGACTCAAATTAGGAGCTGGAATTTGAACGGGAAGGACAGGAAGAGAAATTCACTGCATTGAAATGAAAATGAGTTGAGTGAAGTTACACAGCAGAGGATGTATTGCAATATAAATAATTACATCATTAATGTTTCTGGGAAGGCAGATTTGTAATTTCTGGTTAATTTATACCTACACTCTTAAAAATAAAGCTGCTTCACGATGCCATAGAAGAACCTTTTTGTCTAAATGGTTCCATAAAGAACCTTTAACATCTGAAGAACCTTTCTGTTTCACAAAAACTTCTTTGGGGCGAAAAAAGGTTCTTCAGATTATAAAAAGGTAATAAATAAATGGTTCTTTAAAGAACCTTTGACTGAATGGTTCTTTGTGGAACCAAAAATGGTTCTTCTATGGCATCGCTTGAAGAACCTTTTGAAGCACCTTTATTTTTAAGAGTGTATATGTGTATATATACTGTATATATATATATATATATATATATATATATA